AAAAAGTAGAATGTATTTGAAGTAGAAATGTAATTTCTACTGAGTACTCTAAATCTTGGCTCTGTATTGTCATCACCAGTGCTAAGAAAGTGCCCTGTTGAACCTCAGATGTGTTTGATCTTGAATATACCCACATTTCTGTGTAGTTATCTTCTTCTGATAACTCAGCAGAAAGCATCTACCTACAGAAGTGAAGCACCCAGATACTGTATCTCTATTTGTTTGTACCATGCTATTAATATTCTTCCAGTGTAGTTTCTGATGAATGCATTAAGTTTAATTAGCACTCCCTGAAATTAGCATGCCTGAAAAAAGCATTTGCTTGTTTAGGAATCCAGGTTTACATAGTATCTCTTTTTGTTTCCTTCCCAGCTTTCACCTCAGTTTGACCAGTTGATTCAATTTGCCTAATTTTAAAAGATAATGTAACAACAGACAGCAAATAAATTGAAGCTAAATCCAATCAACTCATTCCATAATATGATTTAATTTTATGCAGACTAATGAATACAAAATGAGGCGAGGCTGGAGGAGAGGGCTCTGCAGTGCCTTCTGGAGCAGGCACTGCCACCTCCTGACCCAGTGCAACAACACGAGGTGTACAGAGCAAGCACAGCCCCAGGACGTAACAGCAGTTTTGTTATTTTGGATACAAAAGAGTGAAATAAGTCTTCCCTCTAGCGAACCCGAGCGCTCTGCAAGAGGCAGAGCCTTCCCTTCACACTCCGGAGCTCTTGTTTCACAGCTCTGACACGAAGATACATTTTTGTTACAATATAACCCAGAGTGAAAATGAGAACAACAAACACAGAAGCATTATAATCTAATTACTTCAGAGTTTCGATGTGAGTGGAGAGATCAACGATAGAAAAGCATCTGAGCAAGGAGAAACCTGTGGTTTCTGACTACTACGTTGTGCTGATCAATCTGCCTTATTTTAATTTTTATTTCATAAAACCATTTCATTATTTATACTTAGAAGTACATCAAATATTGTAGCAAACTTCACTGAGAGATTTCTGAGGTATTTCAGGTTCTGCTTTCATCATGAACTTCCTAACTAGAAGCACATGCCTGTGGAAAGGGGCAGTTTCTCCTAGATACTCATCAGGCACTAGAATTAAGGTATCATAAAAGAGGGATATCTATTGCATTTTACATGAACTTGAATAAAAGAAACCATACAAGAAAACATTGCAATTGAGAGAGAACTATTGCAAATAGTAGCAGTTCTCCCAAGGTTTGCCACAAGCAGTATTTCAGCAACAGAACTGGATGCCAAACCTAAGGCACTTCCCTGCAAAGCTCCCATTAGGGACTGTTGCTTACAAACTCACTGTTCCAGTCATAGAAAGAATAATCACAAACCAGAAAAAAAAAAAAAGTCTGAACAACCAGTCAGTGAGGCAGGAAGCTGTGGGAAGTTCTGTTTTCCAAAGGCTAGAGATTCCACCACCTCCCTGGACAACCTGTACGTGATTTTGTACATGGAATTACCTAACAAGACTTATCTCAGTAAAATTCTTTATGCATTTAATTTTGTGTGAGCCATTATTTACAGTTCTGCTTGACAGAAATACAGCAGCACACCCATGAGGGACACTTTGCTGCCTTGTGATCATGCTAAAACAAATCCACTATTGCCAACTATTTTAACACAAGAATCACAACTTGGAGCCAAGCAAACAAGATTAGTTCTTTCCTTAGTGCATGGCCAATGATGTCACAGGAAGAGCAAAATATCCGTGGGCAAGATAAGAAGGCACACTTAGCTAGAACACAGACACTAGAAGCACCTCAATTTACATTTTCTTGACTTATTTACCACTTTTCATCATAGCTTATCATTAATTGCATTTGGCTAAACCACTAGGATATATCACATGAACTTTTTTTTAGAAACTCTTTAGTTGAACCAGCATAGATAAAATTACATATCACTCTCCAGCACTGATTTCTGGCATCAGGTGGTACCTTGATTCAGCAAAATGAGCAAACGTCCCACTTGAGAACCATCATGCAAAAAGCTTCAAGGTTATACATTAAAAGACCTATTGTTAACTTGCTGCTGGTGCCTCTGGTCCCCAGTCAGGGCCATAACATATTTAATCCTTATGGTTTTCCCTTTAAAAAGTACCTAGTAGAGAGGCTAAGCCCTGCTTCTTACAGCTGGGGCTGCAGAGAGCAACTGGAGCAGGAGCAGAATTAAATACAGAGTTTAAATTGGTGGCTGCAACCAAACACACCAATTAACTGCTCCCTGTATTTCTGCAATCTCAAAAAAAGGCAAAGGCAGTAGCATAGTAAAGGCAACCACACAAGTCACAGAATTATTGTTTCAGTAACAGTAATATCGCCAGCAATCCTTTTAACCATCACTGAAGAATACCTGACACCGGCAAAAGGGACAGATTCAAAGGCTAAATCTCCCCCGAACAAAGGGCATGGGAGGTTCTGAGATGTGTTTGAACAGAGATAATGGCTTCTTGACTGGGGGATAAGGGTAGTTTTCAAAGCTCAGCATAAATGAAAGAAGTAATCAAGCGACAGCTTAAATGTAAAAGACATTTTTTTTTCCAGTTTACCTTCTGAAACACACAAATGCATTTGCTCCTCTTTCAATTTACTCCAGTTCCATCTAACATGGTATTACCTGGGACCATCTCTGGAAGAAAGGAAAAAAAACAACCCACCAACACCCACATCCCTCCATTTTATAGTGTTTATAAAGGTGTATTTTAGGAGTCACCTACCAAGTTAAAGAATTGCTACGTTACACATAACAACGGCCCTTCCCAGTGCACAATCGACACGAAAACCCAGCGATTTGATGCAGTAATTGAACCAAAGCAAGGACAAGGAGAAGGAGCAAGTGTTCACCCAACCCTAAGCCTTTGGTGTTTAAAGTGTAGGTGCTGCAAGAGAACAAACTTTGGCTGTTGCACGGTTAGCGATACCAGAGAGTAAAGGTTACTCGGGTGAATTTTTTCACTTGAATTTCCTGCTTTCGGAGGCTCCCTGTGGGAACACGGGGCTGTCACACCAACGGGTCTCTCCTTGACGCAACCCCGGCCCCCAGATGAAGCCGTTGGGAAGCCCAGACTCCCAGCCCGCAGCACCGAAGGGCCGTGACACCCGCACAGGCCCCGCACCTCCTCCCGGGGGGGCCCCCCTTTCTGATCGGGGCTTTTCCTCACGTTCGGAGCAGGCGGCTCGTTTGAGACCCGTTTCCAGCGGAGCCCTTCCCGGGGCTGCGGAGCTCAGGAAGGCTGGCGGGGCCTGGCCTGGCCTGGCCTGGCCTGGCCTGCCCTGCCCTGCCCTGCCCTGCCCTGCCCCCCGGGGTGCGGGGGAGGCGGATGTTGCGGCGCCGCGGTCACTTCTGCGCTTTTAAAGAGCGTGAAAAGGCCGCGGGGAGGCCTTCGAGTCTGCCGAGCGGGGGCTGTGACAACCCGGGGCGCCCGGGCGGCGGCTCATTAGCTCAGCTCAGCTAATTAACCTGCCCTTGTCCCCGCTCTGTCCCGCTCCCCTCACGCCCGCGGCCGTTGAGGGG